TCGACAAAAGAGGGGGAGGCCTTCAACGAGAGGGATTGACACAGTGGCTGTGATGATGGGCTCAAGTATAGCAGGGATCATGGAGCTGGCATGGGATCGGGCAGTGTTTTGTTCTGCTGTTCATGGGGTCGCTATGAGTCGGACATGACTCAATGGCACCTAAGAACAACAACAATTATGGCATATACTATCAAGCATAACCCAAAATGCATAAACAGCTGAAAATAAACTAGATAAATAGGACATCTGAATATTAAATTGTTATGTGCTTCCAAAGACTTCGCCAAAAGAGTCAAAAGAGAACCTACGGATTGGGGAAAAAAAATATTTGGCAATGACATATCTGACAAGGGACTAATTTCTAAAATTTATAGAAAACTCCAACACCTCAACACCAAAATGACAAATAATCCAATTAAAAAATGGGCAAAAGACATGAATAGACACTTCACCCAAGAAGATATTCAGGTGGCCAACACACATGAAAAAGGGCTCATGATCATTAGCCATTGGAAAGATGCAAATCAAAACAACAATGAGATACCATCTTGCCCCAGCACTAGCAGCAAAGTTCAACAAGACAGAAAATAACAAATGCTGGCGAGGATGCGGAGAGATTGGGACTTTCATACACTGCTGGTGGGACTGTCAAATGATACAATCATTGTGGAAGGCAGTATGGTGATTCCTTAAAAAGCTGGAATTAGAAATACCATTTGACCCAGCAATCTCATTACTAGGTATATATCCTAAAGAAGTGAGAGCCAGGACAAGAACAGATATATGCACACTCAAGTTCATCACAGCACTATTTACAATAGCCAAAAGATAGAAACAACCTAGGTGCCCATCAACAGGAGAATGGATAACCAAACTGTGTTACAGACACACAATGGAATACTACGCAACAGTAAAGAATAATGTAGAATCTGCAGAACACCACATAAGACGGATGAACTTGGAGGACATTATGCTGAGTAAAATAAGTCAATCATGGAAAGACAAATATTTTATTAGTTCATTACTGTAAAAAGTAAAGGAAGGTTTATATATGGAAGGAAACTTTCTTTGTCGGCTACCAGGGGTAGAACAGGAGGGGAGGAAACACTGCAAAAA